AGCCGGTACTGGAGACGCTGGTGGACAGAGGACACCAGGTGACAGTGCTGATCCCGAGTGCATCGATGTTCATGAACAGCAGCGAACCGTCTCGCTTCCAGTACGAACCTTTTAACATCTCCGTCTCCCTGAAGGATATAGAAAGTTTTCTTAAGGAGTTTCTTCACTTCGGCATTTACGAGATGGATTTTATGGGCTACTTTCAGATTTATGTTAGATTCATAGAACTGATAAAGAACAACATGAAGGTTTCTTTCAGTATGTTGGATGGAGTTGTGAAATCAGAAACAATAATGAAGAAGCTGAAGAAGGGAAACTACGACGTGCTTTTTTCTGATCCTGTCTACCCTGGTAGTGATCTAACTGCGGACATTTTGGGGATCCCTCTCATCTACTCACTGCGGTTTTCCTTGGCTCACAACTGGGAGAGGATGTGTGGTCAGCTTCCTGCTCCACCGTCCTTTGTCCCGGGTGCTATGAGTAAACTCACAGACAAGATGAACTTCTCAGAGAGACTGTGGAATGTCCTCTTCTACGCTCTGCAGGACGTCGTAATAGACCAGTTCATGTGGAAAGATCTTGACAAATATTACTCTGAAGTCAAAGGTAAGCAAATTATAAAGAGAGAAACACACTATATGTATTATGTAAAATAAAGCTTAAAAGTCTTCATTTTAATTTAAGATTAACATGTCCATGTCTTACTCATCCACTGCAAAACAGGAACACCCACCAGTGCTTGTGAGATGATGGGTAATGCTGACTTTTGGTTGATGAGAACCTACTGGGATTTTGATTTTCCTCGTCCACTCCTCCCCAACTTCAAATTCATTGGAGGGATCCACTGCAAACCAGCTAAACCTTTACCAAAGGTGTGGTTATAATCCACCAATTTAAACCCCATTACATCACAACAATATCCCTGATGTAAAATAGGTTTATCTACCCACATAAGTCTGAATAAGGGTCAACTAAATGGTTTACAAAGTGTTCATATCTATTTTGCAGGAAATTGAAAAGTTTGTCCAGAGCTCTGGAGACGCTGGTATCGTTGTCTTTTCTTTAGGATCGATGGTCAAGAACCTGACCACAGAGAAAGCGAACATGATCGCCTCAGCGCTTGCTCAGCTTCCACAGAAGGTCAAGAATAGATCATTTAAACTTCAACTTCCAAGCAGTTAAATTCAGCTTAATGAATATAACCCAAGTTGTTTTTTTACCCATCTGTGGCGTTTGAAATTAATATGTGCACGGAGTCAATTCAAATAGAAATGGATAAATACAACTCTAGTATAAAGCACATTGATACACCACAGTGATTAGCATAGTGCTTTATAAATTCTTTATATTTATCATTTCATCAACTTCTTATAAAAAGTACAAAGTTTGACTGTCTGGTTTGACTGTCTGATTTTCTCAAGTTGTTCTAAAGAATTAAGTTACAAATTATTTTAAATATTTATAGGTGCTCTGGAGATACAGCGGAGAAAAACCTCAAACTCTTGGTTCTAATACAAGAGTTTATGACTGGATTCCCCAGAATGACCTGCTGGGTGAGTAAATGCAAGCACCATTTCTTAAACAGCTATTTAAAAAAGCATAACATAAAACTTGCACAGTTAGATAACCAACAAATAATGAATTTGAGTAGTTGTAGCTCTCTTCACGACATAAGATACAGGTCGGATCTTTGAAACAGGCGTTTTGTCTTAATTGTCATCATGTCATAATATCAATAAAGCCTAAGGCAAGTACATATAGCATAAAAAGAAGATTGCCAAGAATGGAACCCTGTGGCACCCCACAAAAAAGGTGATGAAAAGATAAAACTAAAAGAAAACTTATTTCACTCCAACCAGCTCAGGGCAGAACCTTGTAATAATATGTCTATTGTCTGATGATCCAGGTGAGATCAATTATTTTTTGGTGAATTGAATCAAAGGCTGGAACGAACTCAAAAAGCATAAAAGAAACCATAATATTACCACAGTCTGTGATCCATAGGATGTCAATAAAAATTAAAAAAGCTGATTTTGTGTTTGGCAGGAGGAAAAAGCCCTTTCTGAAAAACCTCAATACAATTCTATTTACAAAGCACTTTAGCTACATAAAAAACAGCCTTTTCTAAGGTTAAAGACAAGAATAAAAGCCTAGATATAAATCTAAAATTAGACAATGATGATCCATATCAGATTTTCTGTTTGCTCACATTTATGTCAATGCAAAAAGAAGCTGATAAATAAAACTATTTTATAAAGCCATGACTTGCTTTTATTCAGAGCTGCCATCTATATCATTATTACGCCATGAAAATAAACACATATTTAATAACGTTGGTTTGTAACAGGTCATCCTAAAACCAAAGCTTTCATCACTCACGGAGGGACAAACGGGATCTATGAGGCCATCTACCACGGCGTTCCCATGGTGGGAATCCCCATGTTTGGGGACCAACCAGACAACATGGTGCACATGGAGGCCAAAGGAGCTGCAGTTACTGTTAAACTGAACTTTATGACTATTGAGAGCCTGAGAGACGCTGTCAACACCGTCATCAATGACAAATCGTAAGTACTTCATCTTATTTTTTACTATTTTGATGATTTTTACAATAATCAAACACTTTTCTTGCATTCCTGGAAAGGAAAAATACAATCTTCCTATTTGATGAGTTAAAAACTGACAGATACTTGTGCAAACTCATCCACAGATACAAAGAAAATGTGATGCGACTCTCCAAAATCCACCATGACAGACCCATGAGTCCTCGGGACGAGGCCGTCTTCTGGATCGAGTTCACCATGAGGAACAAAGGAGCCAAACACCTGAAAGTCCAGGCCCATGAACTCACCTGGTACCAGTACCACAGCCTGGACGTCCTGGCCTTCCTTCTTATTATAGATCTGCTCCTCATCTTCATCCTCTTCAAGAGCTGCAGCTTCTGTTTCAAGAGATGCTGCAGCAGAAAAAATACAAAGAGAAAAGCTGAATGAAAATTGAAGTGAGAGTGGTGTTTGTAGCACTTTTCTGTTTAAGAGCTTTAATTACAAAAAAATGTTTACATGTCTGATCATGACTAATGTTTACATTTTCTGATACATATTCATTTGAAATATCAAACATCTTTAAAGCCAAAAAAACATTTCACCTCAGCATGACCAGGCCACCATTATGCTTATGTGTGATGAGTGTATGTTTAGTAGCTAGCTGGTGATTTTTAAAAGAAATTTTTTGTTTCAATTAATGTGTTTAAAAGCTTTTTATTGTACTGTAATGCACTCCAAGTTAAAACTGATAATTACAAATGCTACATAAATTTAACAGAGAATCAATTTTATCAAATACATTTTTATAAACAGGATGCGTTATGCTTTACATCATATTTTATGCCATTCTCTCATCAAAACATTCCTGCAGTATTGCTCTGATTCTTTTATTGTTTGAGAAATCGATACTCTCCCGTGGAGCCTCCTGCGCAACCAACAAGAACACAGAAAGTGGTTTCTGAATAGTAAATCAAGAAGAAAACCCTTGTCTTTTCCAGCAGCCACTGAAAAGCTAGTAGAGCGGTGAAACTAGCTGACCAAATGCACTGGAGTTCCACCTGCGTTGCTAGGTGACGCGCTGGGCTGGCTTAGGTTGCTAGGTAACGACTCAATACCCACAGAATGTGACTTAACTATCGGGAGATTTTTGAAGAGATAGAGATTGAATTCAATGTGTTAGAAAAAGAAACAACAAAATAAAATTTCAGTTAGGATAAACATAAGCTAAAAACAGCATAAAATAGCCACTTGATTGTGCTATAAAATGACACTATGTCCCTGGAAAATTCATTGATAATATCTCGGACCATCATTAAAAAAATAAATAAATCAAGATTTGCACTACATATAAAACAAAAGCAAAACGGGGATTGTTTATTTCTACAACTAACTCGAGGGCAAATGTACAAGCTCATGAACTTGTGAGTAAAAATTACCTTTAAAAATGCAATAACAGTTGGTAGCTCAGCAGTGACAAGTTGTATCTGGTAACCTTTAAAATCTCTGAGTAATCAGACAAAAAGATGGATGAAGAAAAACTAAATACTGAATAACCAGGCTCAACTATTCTCATTGTCAAAGCTAATTATTTACCGATTTGCCCTGAATTTTCTCTGATCTGCTTTTTTTGTACTTTTGTAGCTATAACCCTTTACCTCTTTAATCATTTTCCTGGGGTGAGCCTGTTATCTTGCATCATTCGGTACAAAGAGGAGAAATTCAGAGTTCATGTGGTTAATAAGTATCTGCACAGTCCACCTGTTAAAAACCACAGCTGGTCTATCGATTGTCACATGCACCATGGAGCTGCGTCTCTCCATCTGTGTCCTGCTGCTGCTTTGTGCTGCAAAAAGCTCAAATGGAGGGAAGATTTTGGTGTGGTACACTGAGGCCAGCCACTGGATCAACATGAAGCCAGTACTGGAGACACTGATGGACAGAGGACACCAGGTGACGGTCCTAGTCCCAAGTATATCGCTGTCCATGAACAGCAGCGAACCGTCTCGCTTCCAGTATGAAACTTTTAACATTGACGTCTCCCTGGATGTTATGGAAAGGTTTGTTGAGGAGTTCTTACATTTCAACATGTATGAGATGGACTTCATGAACCCTGTTCAGATTTACATTAAATTTATACAATTAATGAACCGTTACACAATGATAACTTTGAAGTTTTTGGACGGAGTGGTGAAATCGGAAACCATCATGAAGAAGCTGAGGGAGGGAAATTACGACCTGCTATTTGCGGATCCGATCTACGCCGGCAGCGACCTGACTGCGGACATTTTGGGAATTCCTCTCGTCTTTTCTTTACGTTTCTCAATAGCTAATAACTGGGAGAGGCTGTGTGGTCAGCTACCTGCTCCGCCTTCCTTTGTCCCCGGTTCAATGAGCAAACTAACGGACAAGATGGACTTCTCAGGGAGACTGTGGAACGTTATCTTCTATGCTTTGCAAGACTTAGTCCTGGAACACGTTATACGGAAAGAGACTGACAGATATTACTCTGAAATCAGAGGTAAGTAATCTAGAATTATCACAAAAAGACAAAGACGTGGATAATGTTTTGTCAAAACAGGTGTCATAACTCTTCCATTGTCTACTATAACAGGAACACCCACCAGTGCCTGTAAGATGATGGGTAATGCTGATATCTGGTTGATGAGAACCTACTGGGATTTTAATTTTCCTCGTCCACTCCTCCCCAACTTCAAATTTGTTGGAGGGATCCACTGCAAACCAGCTAAACCTTTGCCAAAGGTGCAGTTATAATCCACAAATTTAATAAAACACACTTAAATCTTGATGTAAACAAAGCCACATCACTAACACAATTCTGACTGAAGCCAACTGACTGGTTTCCTGAAGCTGAAAATGTAACTATTTTACAGAAAATTGAAAAGTTTGTCCAGAGCTCTGGAGATGCTGGGATTATTGTCTTCTCTTTAGGATCGATGGTAAAGAACCTGACCACAGAGAAAGCAAACATGATCGCCTCAGCGCTCGCTCAGCTTCCACAGAAGGTCAGTAGGATCCCCAAATGTCAGCTGTAATCAGGATTTTACACTACAATATGTACAGCTTCTCTTGCTTGGTCATCATAAACGACCACTAAGTAGCACAGACTTTTTGTCAACTTTAGATAAATTTTCCCAAACTGAGAATAGCGTTTAATAACCTGTATAAAAAATATAATGTAAAAGCCTTTTTTTTCCTCACTCTCTGACATTGAATCAGAATTAACTTTTGATATTTTGTTAATCAATTAGGATTTCTGTTTCCTAAATGCTTACACCTCTTCCCAGTGCTATCATTAGTGTCTGTGCAAATGCACCACTCCTTACCAAAAACAACCAGTCAGAGCCAGGACGGTCTTAGCGCTGTCGATCAACCTCATGTATGTGCTGCTCACTGTTGGCAGAGAAACAACTCACTATTCCAGAAAATCTGTTGATCCACCATCATCCGTGGCCATGCTAACTAGCTTTAGCATTCATGGCTGACTCTGTTAACAGAGAGCAATTGGGAGGGTGTGAGTTGCGTATACATGAGTGTGATTGGCAGTGCTAAAGTCCTCCTCCTGACTCTGATTGGTTCTGGCCATACTGTGTATTTTCTAGTTAGCACTGGCAGAAGACAGAGTATCTTGATTTTTTCGCATATTATTTGTCTCATACTATGATGTCATAGTACATAGCAGCAGTTTTAACGAATGTGTGAAAATAAGGTTTTTTTAATAAAAGTTAAATGCCCCAGCATTGAAGTTCAGAAGAGCGAATGTAACTCACTAGTATTTGGTAAAATTATTTTTATACTGCAGGGCATAGGTCAAACCTTTTGGATATTATTTCAGACTTCTAGAAATAGTTTTCTGGACATTTGGCCCATTCCTCCAGTCAGAACTGGTGTAATGGAGTCAGGTCTGAATTGAGATCTGGGCTTTGTGATGGTCACGCTAAAGCACTGACTCTGTTAGCCACACTGAAATGCTCTCCCTCTGCAGGTGTTGTGGAGATACAGTGGGAAAATACCAGACACTCTGGGTTCCAACACTAAACTTTATGACTGGATGCCCCAAAATGACCTGCTTGGTGAGTAAACCAAACAGCTTGAAGCAAAAATATGGTTCACCAAACCATAATGTCTACTAGTAAATTTACAGTGAAATCAAAATGTCACGCAAGGAAACAATGAAAATCGATGACACTAAAGGATGAGCAAAAACATAAGACTAATGAGCGATAAAAAACTGCTATGAACAGGACGTGCAACTGGAAATGTGACAAACGAGTCTGGACAGACTTTCTAGCACAACACCGTTTAGAAAACTGCAGCAAGATGTGATTTTTATCTGGAGCGCCTTCGCGTATCAAAAACCCTTTTTGTCTGAACTGTTGCACAGAAATAGACAATAAATGTGTAATAACTGGCTCCTGTCAGGTCATCCTAAAACCAAAGCTTTCATCACTCACGGCGGCGCAAACGGAGTTTTTGAGGCCATCTACCACGGCGTTCCCATGGTGGGAATCCCCACGTTCGCTGACCAGCCAGACAACATGGTGCAAATGGAGGCCAAAGGAGCTGCAGTTGTTGTCAACTTGAACTTCATGACAACTGAAGTCCTCAGAGATGCAGTCAACACTGTCATCAATGACAAATCGTAAGTTACCTTATGCTGCTGTTGGGTATTTACTGTACCGTTTATCATATATTGTGATAAAAAAAAAAAAGTTATTCTGTCAAAACTGTTAATATTGACAGAATCTTTAGTCTTATTTTCTCCACTGTTTGTTTAATGAAGGTACCAATAAAAATTTGTTTGAAAATATATTACAAATCACACTTATTTTTATAAAAGTATACTACAAAAGGGAATGTGTTTCAAGACCAGTATTTGTGATTGCTATCATACCTACACAGTTACCTAAAAAATAAATCTAAGTAATTAATAGAAAATATAGAATCATAGTGAAAAACAGTACAGCTGTGAAATTGCGCAGCACATTTTATACCAGCTGCTAATTTTCTGTTATTTATGGGAGGGCCATGCTTTCAAATCATAGCATCGAGTGGAAGAAAAAAGTGTGTCGCAAAAGACAGTGCACTGTAAAAACAGCTGTTTTTCAACGACTGCGATGCAAAGACCATTATATACATGTTTTAAAAAGTGATGGTCAACTTTTTTTTCCTCATTCATCAACAGCTACAAAGAAAATGCAATGCGACTCTCCAAAATCCACCATGACAGACCCATGAGTCCTCGGGACGAGGCCGTCTTCTGGATCGAGTTCACCATGAGGAACAAAGGAGCCAAACACCTGAGGGTTCAGGCCCACGAACTCACCTGGTACCAGTACCACAGCCTGGACGTCCTGGCCTTCTTCCTTGTTATAGATCTGCTCCTCATCTTCATCCTCTTCAAGAGCTGCAGCTTCTGTTTCAAGAGATGCTGCAGCAGAAAAACAAAGAGAAAAGCAGAATGAAAAAACTGAAGTGAATAAATCTGATGCCTGAGCAAAAGGACATTTCATAGCAAAGTTGTACCAATGTGTGTTGTATTCTTAAAATTGCCTTTAAAATAAGCATATATTTGTGTGGTTTTGTCATTTTTTTCCATGGTTTTAATTGAAACATCTCTACCAAACCTTTTACAACTATCACAAATATTCAGAGAAAACTTGGCACAAAATGTCTTGAAACAAATATTAGATTAACATATCGATACGTTATCAGAAAAGTGCTAAACAACAGTTTGTTCATGGAAGTGGCATTATTAGGAAATCAAATTTTGAATTCAAATTCATGTTTGAAATAAAAACATGAAATTAAAAAACGTGTGTATTATGTGTGTTGAATGCATAGTAATGAGGTTTTACGTTTAGTAGTAGAATATTTTATTTAAAAAAATAAAAATACAAAGAGTCAAATAAGTCTTAAGGTATGCAACTTTACATTATTTAATGACACATTTAATGGTATGTTGTTTTTAATTTCATGATATGTTAAGGTTGGTTGATATCAATAATTATTGAATTAGTTTTTTTTATATATATTTGAGATATTGCCAAACTGGTGTGACATTTCTTGTTTTATAGTTTCCCCTTGATCTTCTGTACTGATTTTCTCCTTTCACTCCACGCTGATGTTTATTTTTAAAGAGTTATGAAGCAAAGTGCTACAATCTTAAGCTGCTGCTGCCCAGCAACAGGCCGTTGCTAGGTAACCACAAGTTACTCGACAACTCGTTGCTAGGTAACCAAAAAGTGAGTGATTTAGCTGATGCCGCCAACTTTTCTTAGCTAGCTGTGAGAGGTTGAGGAGCTAAAGTCTTTTCACTGTCTAAATCCCCCAGAATGCTGTGCGGTTCTGGATGGGAGTTCAGTGAAATTATTGATATTCTATCAGATGAATTATCTATAGATACTGATCACGTCTATATATATTGTTGTTGATGTATTGCACTCCTACAAGAACCCAGACCTAAAATACTTTGTAAGATTTTGTGTTTTTGCAGTGTACAGCCAGTTAAACGCTCAATAAAGATCCTCCTGTACATATTTGAGTCACCCACTGCTAGGTTAGCCGTTATAACCCTTTACCTCCAGCTGCTTTTATGGGGTGAGGCTGTTATCTGTTGTACTTCAGTACCAACAGGACAGTCAGAGTTCATTTAGTTAATAAATATCTTTCAGGTGAACCTGTTGAAAAGACGGGAGCTGGTTTATCTGCAGACACAGAGCCGCCATGGAGCTGCGTCTCTCTGTCTGCGTCCTGCTGCTGCTTTGTGCTCCAAAAAGCTCAAACGGAGGGAAGATTTTGGTGTGGTACACTGAGGCCAGCCATTGGATCAACATGAAGCCGGTACTGGAGACACTGGTGGACAGAGGACACCAGGTGACAGTGCTGATCCCGAGCGCGTCGATGTTCATGAACAGCAGCGAACCGTCTCGCTTCCAGTATGAACCTTTTAATGTTTCCGTTCCATTAGAGGATATGGAGGATCTTATGGAGGAGTTTAATCAGTTCTCCATGTACGAGATAGATCACATGAACTACTTCCAGATTTATATCAAATATATGGATATTATGAGAACTGACCTACAGAATAGTCTTAAGATGCTAGACGGCGTGGTGAAATCAGAAACCCTGATGAAGAAGCTGAAGAAGGAAAACTACGACCTGCTCTTTGCTGACCCCCTCCTGCCTGGCAGTGACCTTGCAGCGGACATGTTGGGAATCCCTCTGGTCTTTTCTTTACGTTTTTCCTTGGCTCATAATTGGGAGAGGATGTGTGGTCAGCTGCCTGCTCCTCCCTCCTTTGTCCCTGGAGTTATGAGCAAACTCACAGACAAGATGGACTTCTCAGAGAGACTGTGGAACGTCCTCTTCTACGCTCTGCAGGATGTTGTGATCAACCATGTTATGTGGAATATGTTCGATGAATACTACTCAGAAGTCAAAGGTGAGCAATTCAACAAGAATCCTCAACATGCATGGCTCCCACAAGTCTGAACCGCCATCTTGGTAGGCAAACACAGCACAAAGCATAGCTGAACCATGTCTTTGAGAGACTGACAAAAAGAAAATATGGGAAAAAAGTTTAAAGCTTAATGGCTGTAATGTCCTTAATTGTTTATACGCTAGGTCTAAGCTTGTGGCTTGTTTATTGTTGTCATAGCAACAGTTCATTATGGATGGCTACCAAGATGGCTGTCAGCTATGTATATACTTATGTGGGACATGACGTTTTTTAAATTGTTTATTACATAAAATGCTTTGTATCAGGAACACCCACCAGTGCGTGCAAGTTGATGGGTAAAGCCGATATCTGGTTGATGAGAACCTACTGGGATTTTGATTTTCCTCGTCCACTCCTCCCCAACTTTAAATTTGTTGGAGGGATCCACTGCAAACCAGCTAAACCTTTACCAAAGGTAGGAACTTTTAAAAACCATATAAACAAATCACATTCTGTCTCCATAAAAAAACCAAACCCGCTGACTTTATAGCTTTACTGACATTTCAGGACATGGAAGAATTTGTGCAGAGCTCTGGAGAGAATGGCATCGTGGTCTTCACTTTGGGATCCATGATTAAGAACGTAACTACAGAGAAGGCAAACCTAATAGCTTCAGCTCTTGCTCAGCTTCCCCAAAAGGTTGGCAATATGTTCAGTGTTTTCTCCAAATGACCTCCTTTTATCATCTGATGCAACTTTTCCCAACTTGGCCCTGATCAGACGGGTGTTGACACTCACCCAGAGGTTTATTGGGTTCATAAGTAACTATTCACTACTGGCACAAGCAGATTCCATTCAATTTATCTGACCTTTATAAAGGCAGAAGAAAATCTCATTTTCGATATAAACTGGTTCCAACTTAAAAAATGTCTTCAGATTTAACTTTTTTTTTCACTTTCTGAAGGTTAGTGTTCTCTTGTTTAGGTTGCTGTAGTTTGATATTAAAGGATCTCCTTAATAAATTAATTACATTTATATAGCGCTGGACAATATGGCTGAAAAACATCACGATAAGCGTTTCATATCAGTTAATATCAATGATTATTGATTTGTTTTTTGTTTTAAATATCCGAAATACTGCCAAACTGGTGGTGTTAACTTTCCCATTTCTCCACAGCTTTCACACCATGCTGTTATTTACCGTTAGGCAAATATGAGGCACAGTGGCTAAACCTTAAACTGCTGCTAAACAGGTTGTTGCTAAGTAACCAAATATTACTCAGTGAGTTGGTGCTAGGTAACCAAAGAGTGAGTGAGTTAATTGATGCTACCAACCTCACTGCAAAACACAAAATCTTACAAACACAAAACTATACCAAAAAGTTTTTTTGATTTAGTTTCTAGTGCAAATATCTTAGTAAACTTGAAATAAGATAAAACTAGCAACATATAGAAATGTGTTCTGAGTCAGTAATTATTTATTTTGATTTTTTTTATCATGTGTATATCATGATATATATTGTTACTCATTTATTGCGAGTCCTACATTGTGTTATTGACTTTACAGTAATCCCTCTTATTGAGCATGCATGTAGCGACAGTGGAGAGAAAACACTCCCTTTTAAAAAGGAAGAAACAAGTACAAGCGGCCATTTAAGTGCATCTCAATGTGATTGATGAAGAAAAAAATATATATTGTCCGAAGGGCTGGACAATTTTTTTCCAAGATAAAGTAATTTAAATACTCAATAAAGACAGAACAGTTCATTGATTTTACAAGCAGGATTTTGATTGGAATGACAATACTCAAATTTTCCAAACCTCCAGTCTCATCACTATGCAAGGATGAAACATCAAAAACATTTAAATTCTCTTAAGCTTTCTCAGCATTCTGTGTTGTTTCTAGGTACTGTGGCGATACAACGGTGAAAAACCAAAAACTTTAGGTTCCAACACCAGGATATTTAGCTGGATCCCTCAGAACGACCTGCTGGGTGAGTGAAGTTCATGTCATTCAGAGAAACAACGTGGCAGCAGAAATGTTGGATTGATATTTGTGCAGTCAGACTGCCTGCTGACAACACTGAAATGTAACAAAGATGCTCAGCAGAAGTTACTATAGAGGTCAAGTTATTGATTGAATAAAAATGAATAAAAGCCAAGTTACTGTTTCAAAGAAAAACACGCCATTTGCCAAGTCCTGTGAGGTATAAACAACTCACCACTTGGCTTAAGACCTTTGAAATGACTTTATGTAAAATAGCTTTTATCATTATACACCGCTGACCTCAAATGGCTTTAGTTTGAAAATTAACTCACACTCACATGACATGCTTTGGTTTCCATCAGGTCATCCTAAAACCAAAGCTTTCATCACTCACGGTGGGACAAACGGGATCTATGAGGCCATCTACCACGGCATTCCCATGGTGGGAATCCCCATGTTTGCTGACCAGCCAGACAACATGGTGCACATGGAGGCCAAAGGAGCTGCAGTCATTCAGAACCTGAACTTCATGACAACCGAGAGCCTCAGAGATGCAATCAAGAGCGTCATTAATAACAAATCGTATGTTTTGAATAACAGAGAAATTATCAAATAGGTTAATTTGGATTACTTAAAGGTTTCAGTTTTTTAAGAAATCGACAATACAAGTGTCTCCCAATGAATTTGCATATTATAAAGTGAACCAACAAGAATCATGATCTAATTTCTGTACACAGAAAAAAAAAAAATCACAATGCTTAGCTTTGTAAGCTTAAATGTAAAAGTTCACATTTTCAAAGTTGTTAAAGAGAAAAGGTTCAATTGTCTCCAAGATGCACCTTTGAATTGTTGCAAAGGGTTAAAAATGGCTGCTGTTGTGGCAATCTCCCTATTTGATGAGTTGAAACTGACAGATACTTGTACAAACTCATCCACAGATACAAAGAAAACGTGATGCGACTCTCCAAAATCCACCATGACAGACCCATGAGTCCTCGGGACGAGGCCGTCTTCTGGATCGAGTTCACCATGAGGAACAAAGGAGCCAAACACCTGAAAGTCCAGGCCCACGAACTCACCTGGTACCAGTACCACAGCCTGGATGTCCTAGCCTTTCTCCTTATTATAGATCTGCTCCTCATCTTCATCCTCTTCAAGAGCTGCAGCTTCTGTTTCAAGAGATGCTGGGGGAGAAAACAGCCAAAAAGAAAAGCAGAGTAACAGACTTTAGATTTTAGTTTTTGGGACCTGGTACCTGTGTTTGTCACCACTGACAAAAAAAGTCCAAAATAAAGTAAAAACAACTAGACTATATGGCAAGAAAAAAAAACTTGTATGAGAATAAAGTCATAGTAATAAAGTTGAAACAATGTGAAAATAGAGTTATAATATTTTGAGAATAAAGTTGTAGAGAATAGTCAAAATAATGAGAATACATATTTTGAGAATAAAGTCATAGTATTGCGACCAATCAATGTTATTCTATTAGGTAGGTGAGGTGAAACTTTACATAGATACACAATAAATATAAATATTAAATGATCCAAAATGGCCCAGTGCTCATTATTTAAAATAGTAAAAACCGTAAAAACCACTGGCTCAAGTACAGCATCCTCATTAGGACAAGATTAAAAGAAATATAAATATAAAATGATAAATTGAATTTTGGGATCTTAAGGCGAAGTCATATTATTACAAAAAAAGGTAAAAAAAAAAAAAAAAAAAAAAAAAAAAAAAAAAGTCATGTGAGAAAGTCATATTTCGAAAATAAAGGTTGCCCCAAATACTCTGTAGCATAATTTCAATTGCAGACAATATGGCGACGCCCATTGTCTGCAATTCCTTTACCGCACTTATAGCTTTAGAAGCGGTTTTACTTTCTATAAACAAACACTACTTTTAATTTGGGTCAGTGTAAAGGCGCTACATATAACACTGATTTAAGACCCACTCTTGCTTTTGTGTCTTAAGAAATAAACATGTTTTTTTTTTTCTTACTGTCGATGCTAGGAGGTAGCGGCCATATTGAAAAGTGAAGTCCATGGAACTAGTTGGAGATGCTCTCAGTGGGAAATCCGACCTCTGATTGGATTCCAGTTAATTTTTCAGACTGGAAAGTCGTCCATTCCCAGTTCTTGTATAAACTGGAGCAGCATCGGGTTTGTTGGCCTTTCCTGATTTGGAATGACGTCATTATACATTGCAGCTGCGCTTATTAGACGCGCCTGAAGATAATTAGGTAAAAACTGAATCCTCATTGGCTGGTTATGACTTAGGGAGGGACAACAAACAAAAATTTTATTTTATGCCTTTATTTGGGAACCACTTAGAGTAGCTTTATCCGTGAGTCTCATAAATATTCATATAGACATTATACATGGGCTTTAACTCAAATGTCCATTAGCAGAAAACATCAAATTATAAACACAAATAAACAGCCCCTACTCGTCTTCAAATATACAATCATACATATCATGTTTCATGTATAATCAGTGGCAGTTCCTCATTTTTTCAGTTTCCCATCTTCTTTCATCTTCCACAGCATGAGCTCCATGCAGGCAGCTGCGTCTTCTCCAGTGTCGTGGCCACAAACTGGGAGAAACAGCGGCACACGGTTTTAACATGTTGCAGTTTTAAAACACACTCCATTCCTTTATTAGTTTATATTCGGTTAATCCTTTACAATAATTGAAGCGGCTGTGGTTTAACAGATTATGATTAGAAACAAAACCAGTTGGTTGTAAAGTGGCAACCCACCACTCTCCTGAATAATCCTCCTGAGATATTCAGCGGTGAGGCTATTGAGGCTCAGCTTGTTGGGCGGACCTAGACGATGGGGGAAGACCACCGAAGTGTCTACCACCGTCCCATGAAGCAGCTACAGCACAAAAATAAAAAAATGAAGCTCCTGTCAGACCCTCTGTAGTTTAATTCATATTCCAACATGCACAGGTGAATAAAAAAGCCAGTTGTGACACATCAGAAAAATGGCTGGTGTCTTTTGCACATGGATGCTATTAGGCGTTCATTTGTCGCTCAAAAACACTCGATAAATAAAATAACTTGATTGAGCCAGTATTAATAATTTCATTTTAAGTTTCTGCAGGTTTCACCAACTCACATTTTAGGCGTTTAAGGACCTTATGGATTAAACTTAGAGCTGCAGAATGTAACTTTTACAAAAAATGTTTTGTTTTTTTACACATTTGCTAAAATTATCATTATGTCATGACAGTATAAGAGATAATCTTTGAAAAGAAATCAAGCTCTTCTTCCTTCTCCCACCACTAATTGCAAGAATATGTTTAGACAGAAATGACCAATCAGATCCAGGAGGAGGAGCTTAGCACTGTCAATCACTCTCATGCTCACTCCCTCCTGTTTGCTCTTTGCCAAGTTCACCACAACATAGGCTGCCACGAATGCTAAGGCTAGTTAGCATGGCCATCAATGACAGCACATTTAACAACGTGTACATGAGAGTGATTGACGGCACCAAAACCCACCACCTAACTCTGACTGGTTGTACTTGGCATTAGTAGCTCACTGATGAGGTGGGAGATCAATTTTCATATTACAATGTCACAACATGGCGACAGTTTCAACATAGATTGAAAAAAATATATATAGATTTTTGTACTGCAGCTTTAAGACAAGCATCATGACAAAAATGTACAAAAAAATTTAAAAAATACACATTTTATGTTTTAGTAGTTGCAAGCTTTTTAGCACAAATGCACGTAATATAAGGGTTTGCAACAGAACGCGAGCCAGTAGCAAAGATAAACGTCGTCCAGCCAGCTGACAATAAATTTATACCTTCCGATGATAAACAAAAAAGCTAGTTAGCAAAGGTATGCTAGCAGCTATTTAGCGTTAGCCTAAATTACTATCATCAAGGAAGATAAACTACATAGAATATATGAAATTACAAAGTCTTACCAGCTAACATTTAAGACTTGAAATTTATTTAAGCCAACTTACATTTTGAAATGAATTTCAGACATTTTAAGGCCTTAATTTAAGTCTAAGACATTTTAAGGATAAAGACACCAAGAATAAAATTATGGCTTATTTAAAGCTTCATATCTCTAAAATATTAGGCATTAATTTAAACAAACAGTGATGAATATAGCTGGAACAGCTAGTGTGAAAATAAAACAGTCAAAATTAAAATAGATTTGGAGAACAAAGTGCGTCTTACAAGTCACTCGTCTTACAAGTCAACTTAAAAAAAATTAAATAAATACAGAACTGCCTGATGTTTGAGCAAGAATCCCCAATTTCAGATCATTATCCTCCTTTAACAAAGAGAAAAAAAAATGTTTGCAACAGTCACCTTCAGTAAACAAAGGTCTGTTTCCAGGCCATGTCCAACGAGAATAGTGTCAGCACTGATGAAGCTCAACAGAGTGTCTTGGACCTCCTTGAGGGAGGTGTGGTTACCTTTCACATCCTCCTCACTGATGCCTGAAAACCTACAGACAGATTAACAGCAGAGGGAATGAATAAAGAAAGTTGGCGCAATGGGAAATATGAGGAAAAGCAGCCCAAAGCACTGAATTACAAAGAACCAAGACAGCAGGTTAATGCAACAAATTCAATCCATGGTTCAACTTTAGAAAGATTGTTAAATTCTTCTATGTTAACTTCAGCAACAGCTGTGGGTTTAAATTTTTATATGCCATAAAACTTTCCTGTACAAAAACTATAAAATATTGTGCAAAGCAAGATGAATATGTAAACTAAAAACTGGAGTAAAAAAGTGAGCAAGTCTGTTTGATTTCTGTGCAACTTCTGTCCAGGTTGACTGAAATATGAGCCATTATTGTTACAGGTTGATTTTCTAAGCTACAGAAATGTGAGGAAAAGTTACAACTTGCATTCTGAATGTAATATTACTTTAAAATAAAATTAAAGAAAAGTAATTGTTACTTTTCTTTAAGTAATAATTACATAAAAGTAATACATCCCTAATGAAAATTTGGGCCAATTTTGATATCCAACTTTAATACTCCTGCTATGGCAGCTTTTACCAATATTTTATGTGATCACTTGATTAATCGTCACAATACTTGATTACCAAAGTAATCATTAACAACAGCTGTGAAAAAACAAAACAAAAAGAAAGACGAGCTCCTCTGCTTTCTCCCAGTGCTAACTGGAAACAACCAATCAGAACCAGGAGGGTCTTAGTGCTGTCAATCATGCTTGGGTACACACTACTCACACTCTCCCCACACACATAAGCCTGTCATAAATGCTAAGACCAGTTAGCATGGCCAAAAATGATGGTAAATAAACTGTTTAACTGGAACTGTTTTACATCGTTTCTCCTCCATTAGCACATCGAGAAGCGCGTGAAAAGCTTGACTGACGGCGCCAAGACGCTCCTCCTGGCTCTGATTGGTTATTTTTGGCCAGAAGTGGTGCAATTCTTCAGATGGCAGTAGTAAACTGGGAGGAGGTGGAGGAGATCGATCTTTTCACAGATTATCTGATAAACTGTCATAATTGCTATTATGTTATGATGTTTTTTTTTACATAAATATACAACTGCAGACATAAACTGGGCGCTGGGCTCCGTCTGTGGAGACGTTACCTGGTGTTATAGTCGATGACCTCATTGTCAGGTTTGACAAACGTGTCGTAGACGACCTGCAGACTGGAGCTGATCACTGTCACTCTGGACAGCTCCAGGCCCTGAACAGTGTAACACTGAAGCCATTCACACAGGTTTCAATCACTTAAACACATATTCTAGAAAGAGCCAAACATAAATAAAAGTTTTTATAAATTACCATTTCACAATCCAAGGAGTAAACTCCAGGACAGCTGGAGTCTGAGGGGCGTCTGGGTGCAGTAGATACAAACCCATCCAGGCTGAGGTAATCATGGACATGCAGCTGGGTGAAAGAAAAACTAATGTTAAACTTTTACTGGTCCTGTTTTATCAGTGAAATGTGTGTCCACCAACCTTAAACATTTGACATCCCGGCGCTCCCATGACCCCCTGACAGCAGCTGTAGCGAGTTTCCACCCCACCTGGAACTGCAGCAAACAAAACACTGTTGATGCTTCACTCTGTTTGCACATAATCCATTTTAACTGGCTTACTCAGTCTCACTTGTAATATATTTTATATTTCCCTATTTGCAGTAGGAATGGGCGATAAATCGTTTTTATTGATCAACTGAATTTTTGGAAATTTTTTTTTTTTTTTTTTCCCCCAACATTCACTTCGTCAGAACGCCCAGGA